TCAGGACGGCGCCGGCGCCTGTGGGGTGCCCTCTCCGCGCCCACCTGGCGCGGGGCCAGCTCTCAGTGAGGGCAGCGCTGTTTGCCGTTGGCACCAGCGGCTGCGGAGGCGCCCGGGGTCGCCCTCGGTGCAGGCTGCCGGTCCCTTCACCTGCCACAGCCGGGCGGGCGGGGAGAGCCGATGGGCCGGCCCTGGCTCTCCCTCTGGCCTCCCAGGAGTGTCCTGCTCTCTTCATTTGAAGCGAAGCAGCAGCAACTTCTGGGCGGTTCTTGAGATAACCAGTTCTGGGCCCGTGAGCGGCTGAGCTGGCCAGAGCCGGCTGGTCAAGGGTCCGGAGAAGCCTGAGGGCAGGGCCAGGCCCTCCTGGGAGACCTGCCCGCGGGCAGCTGGGCCAGGCCCCCCCAGGCTGCCCCCAGAGGAGAGGCCTCTGGTCGTCTTCCCACAGCTCTTGTGAAACGGGAAGGCACCGGAAGGACAGCACCGTGATGTCCAGCCCGGCGGCCACTGTGCAGGTTTCCTAAACCATCTTTTAAGCTGAGGCGAGCGACGGGGCGCACCCCACCCAGAGTCTGCCCGGCGGAGCCCCACATCTGTTAGGGCGGTGCAGCCCGCAGCCCCGGAGCTGCTCCCAGGACGGGGCTGCGTGTGCTCTGGGGACCCAGGCGCCCCGGTGCAGCCTCCTCGTCGCGCATCCCGGGGTGCCTCGCCCCGACAGTCCACCTGTACCCGGTCGTTCCTCCGCCAGGCGAGCACACCCCTCCCCAACAGCCTCGCCTTCCTCCCCCCGGGCATCCTCTGGCCCTCCGTCTGCGGGCGGCAGTGAGACTCCTCCTCGGAGGGGTCACTGCACGTCCTCGGAGGGGTCACTCGCGTCCAAACGCTAATGGGCAGAGCGGGCTGCCTTGCTCTGCGGGAGCAGGATTTGCTCAACACCAGCATCTCCTAATTCTGGGCGCCTTTGTGTTGCTGAGAAGCAGGGCAGTCCCAGCCCTCCCCCACCTCGGCGCCCCAGGGGTTCACGCAGCAAGGGCACTCGAGGGACCACAGCCTGCACCGGCCTCTGCTCCCCCGCCAGCCTGCTGCGGCCTTCCAGCCCCTGAGGTCAGTGTCGCACCCCTGCCCGCCCCCTGCCGCGCTCCTGCCGGGCGCCAGGGCACCAGGCTTGAGCTCGTCAGGCCCAGCTCGCGGCCCAGGGTCGCCCTGTCCAGCTCCGCACCCTTGGCCGGCCCACGCCCCGCCCTGCCGGCGACGGCCTGCCCGTGCTCAGTGAGCACACGCCGTGCTGCGTCCCGCGTGGGCGCCGCACAGCTGCGCGTGCTGCTGAGCTCTGCTCTAGAGACCTAGTGACGGGCACACAGAGCGGGGCGCAGGCCAGAGGTGCGGGGGGAGAGGTCCGCTGGAGACGCAGCGGGGCCAGGACAGGCAGGGAGACGAGGGCCACTGCCCGCCACGGCGCGCGAGCCAGCACCTGCCACGGGCTGACTGCCCACCGCAGCGCCCTTGCTGAGACGTCTGTCCCGTGGGGGCCCATTTTCTGATGAGACCGTTCGGTGTCTCAGCCCAGGCACGTGCCTCCTGACGGCACATCCCGCGGGTCCCCCAGTTACAGGCCCGGCCTCTGCGGGCCCAGGGTCTGCCCCGCTGCGCGTCACCGGCCCCGCCCCAGGGCCAGGCAGCCCCTCCCCTACGCAGACCTGCCCGGAGCAGAGGCGGCTGGCAGGACACTGGCTGGGGACAGGCCGGTGCACGCGCCCTCCCCTGCGCCCGACTGCCAGCTCCCCGCTCCGCCGGCTGCCCTGAGTGGCAGGACACCTCACACTATCTCATCAGCCTCACCGAGGTGTAATTAACTTATAATGGTATCAGCCGTTTTATGCAGCGTTGCAATGAGCTTTGACAAGGGTCCGCCTGCAGGCACAGCACAGGCGGAGGGGAGCCTCCTGCCCTGCCCGGCCCTCTGCGGGCGGCCGCCCCCACCCCCACCGGCAGCCTCGGGTCTGACTTCTGCGCCTTCCTGGCTTCTGCCTCTTCCAGCCCCGGGGGAAGTGGCGGGCGGTGGGCGGCGCTGGCAGGCCTGGGCGGGCTGCAGCTGCTGCTTGCTCGGCGGGCAGGGCCAGCGGTGCCCGCTGACGGGCGTCGGATGGGTCCGAGGCCGCCTTCCGAGCCCCTCTCGCCCCTCCTGCAGCCCCAGAGAGCAGCCCCCCGTCAGCGGCTGCGCGGCCCCCGCCCAGGTGCCACCTCCCGCCCCGCAGTGTCGGGCGGCCCCCGGCTGGCTTTCTGCCCGCAGGTTTGCGCTGCTCACCCTGCCCAGCTCGGGCGTCTCGCCGACCCGCCTCACTGGCTGCGGCGTCTCCCGCCGCCCGCCCGCCCCTCCGTGCAGTGACACGTCAGGGATGCAGCTTTGTTTCCCCACACACGAGCCACTTTCCCCAAAACCGCTTTCCTGCGGGTCTCGAACGGGTGCGGGCGGCTTGTTCCCACTCCGCCGGCCGCCACGGTGAGGGGCCACGGGCAGCGGGGGTGGGCAGCAGGTCTGGGCCGCGGCGACGCTGGGGGGGCCACCCCAGAAGACGGCCACGTGTCAGAGCCTTCGCCCTGCCCCCCGCACCTGGCAGCCAGGACGCCACTCCCAGGCCTGCCACAGCCCCCGTGGCTTGGGACCGGGCCCTGGGCACACCTGCCCGGCCTGAGCCCCTCCTGACCTGCGTGCCCCCACCCTTGAGCGAAGCGGCCCCCGGGCTGGGCCGCCCTCAGCCTGCTGGCCCCCACCTCCCGGCGGGCGTAGGTACAGCACAGGCCACGGGCAGCACCTGAAGGCTAAACCTGAGTCCCCACCAACAGGGGCCCTGAGCCAGGGACACCCCCACCCCTGGCTGTGCACACCGAAGCCCTCGGGGGAGCAGGCAGCACCCGGAGCCTGGGGCCCTATTTCCTCGGGCGCTCGGAGCGTCCAGCCGGCCAGTGGGCAGCCTGCCTCTCCGATGGGCCCGCCCTCTCCCCCCGCCGGGCCTTACCCGGCTCCCTCCCGCTCCACTGGCTCACTCCTAGTCGCTTTTAAACATGTTTGTCTCCCCCACTTAAAATACCACCCGCACGGGGGTGGGGAGGGGAGTGCACGGGACTATGGTGGTGGCACACGGGTGACTGGTGATGGGAAACCCGCGGGGATGACAATTGAGATGGAAAAAAAAATGTACAAAATGATGTAAAAATAAACTGCTGTAAAATTTAAAAAAAAAAATCATACATATTATAGCCCTCCCTGGGGGCGCAGCGGGTCACAGCGCAGCACTGAGAAGCTAAAGCCGCTTCCGCAGGAGTTCGATCCCCGCCTGCCCCTGAGGTGACCCCAGGGCGCCCCAGAGGTGACCTCTCCTGACCCGCCCGCTGCTCCCCTCAGCAGTGTACTTAGTCCATCTGCCTGTTCTGCTCCCCACTCTGTCTCTGGTGAAGCCTCTCGCCGCCCCTGAGCCTCTGGCCTGTACCCCAGTTCTGTATGCACAAATAAATAAATCTTATTTTAATCAAAAAATAAAAAATACGACCCGCACATGCCTGCACCCCCACACCTGCGCCCAGGTGCGCTCCTTCCACTCCCCGGGGCTCTGCCAGGGACCCCCTCAGGCCGAGCTGCGCCCAGGCTGCACACCTGGCACGACCCTCATGCCCACTGTCCGAGCTGGGCCCGGGGTCCTGGGGAGACCTGACGCGAAGTCTGCCCGTCTCCAGGCGCCCGCTCGGCGTCTGCCAGGCTCCTGCCTCGCGCTCGGGCTGTTCTGCGGTCCGCTCTGGACGCGGCCTCCGTAGGGACGAGCGCCCCTCCGGGTGGCCTGCCACTGAGCGGGCAGAGCTGCCCGTGATGTGCCTGGGGCGGGGGGCAGTCACACCCAGGGCAGCTCCCGGCCTGCTGCGGGCACCGCCGGGGCCCCGCGAGGGCAGTGGGAGGCCTCCCGGGCCGTCCCTCCTCCCTGTCCTCGTGCTGAAAGCCCCTCCTCATGACCCACCGCCCGCCACCCCAGGACAGCCCGGCAGCCCCGGCTCCGCAGCCAGGCTCCGGAGGGTGAGGCGTTCCCAGAGCCTCCGGCCCCCGACAAGCCCGTGGCGTGATCTGCAAAAGGTCCGATGTTTCCAGAGCCTCAACAGCCAGCGTCTGTGTAAAGGGGAAGCCAGCGGGAACGGCCCCGCCAGCCCTGGCGGGCGTCCTGGCCCGCTTCTGCAGGCGCCCAGCCAGATGCCCGCCCAAGAGCACCTGCCCCCGACGGCCGGAGGGTCTCCAGGCCAGCCGCGGCCCAGCAGCGGGGAGGCTGGCACCCACAGCGGGCAGCGCGGCAGGGAGAGGAGGCCCCTGGCCGTGGAGTTTCAGCCGGCCGGGGCTGATCCACTCTGGGACGTCAGGGAGGTGCTGTGAGACCCCGCACCCAGACTCAGGCCGCCCGGCTCCGGAAGCCACTCCTGCCACGGGGCCACGTCCGCGCCGGAAAGAGGCACAAGACGAGGCAAAATCAAACTATTATTAAGGTACATACATATGTATAAGCTTAGTTCTGGTCAAGTAAAGCAAATTTGCTGCAAAAAAAAAAAAAAAAAAGCGCACTCCTGGTGGCTCCCGGCACAGCGGGGCCGCTGCCCCCGCGGAGGGGGACACGGGGACACAGGCACCTCCCTGTGGGCAGCCGGGCCCCGCCAGCCGGCCGCTTCCCGACTCCCAGCTGGGGCCGGGCTGGCCAGAGCAGGACACCGTGACCGCAGGTGGCCGAAGAGCACGACCAGGAGCCCCGTGGCCTTAGTCGCGTTCTCCGGAGGCGAATGAGAGAAGTCTGATAAGCGCGAAGGGACGAAGCCCGCCCCGCCCTGGCGGTCCTCGCCGCCACGGAGGCATCACCCTCGCCCACGGCTGGTCCACTGAGGGCACGGTCGCCCGCTTCCCGGCGCCTGCGTAGCCCACACCCGTGCCGCGCTGCCCGCTGCAACGGGCAGCTGGGTGCTTTCACCCCGTGACGTCCCGGACGTACGCGCCACAGCGTGGCCGGCCGTGGTCGGCCGTGTCCGACGTCTCGTTCTCATGACCCACGGACCCACCTTCCGCCGCTGCGCTGTTATTTCCGCGGGACAAGCTCCTCCCGGGGGCCTCCTGGGTCAAAGCGCTGTTCCGCGGGAGGCCCGGCCTGGACACCTGCGGCCCGTCCCCTCCGGAGAGACTGGGCAGCGGCTGCTCCTCGCAGGGGCGCTAATGCAGGAGGACGGGTCCTTGGTTACCCAGAAAGCAGGCACAGGGGTGGGGGGAGA